CTCCTGGGATGGGGCCCCAGCTCGGCAGGGCTGCGGCGCAGAGCAAGGTAGGGTGGTCAGAAGAACCTCACAGTCCATGTCAGCAGCTGCAGATACATCTCTCGGATCTCTGACAGCCTTCTTGTTTCCTTTTTATGGCCAGGAATAGCTGCTCATTTTCCTTCTGTGACCCCTCTCCATGAGTGTCCATCTGTCCCCACCCACAGGGCTTTTTCCTCATCCCTTTCCCTAGTCACTGCTTAGCCGCAATACTTAGAGAAAAGCACTTGCTTTCTCTGCTGGTTCCTCAGCCACCCACCTTTTGGGTGCTTCTCTTTGGGGCTGCTCCAGTTTTCTGGGAGCATCCCTGCTGGTGCAGTGTGGAACCGGGCTGGAGCTCTGGCAGCAGGCTCTTCTGCTGCCAGTGAAAAACAGTCCTTTGAGAAAATCCTTTGTGCAATGTGCAATTATATTCATGTTGCGATGAATTCAATAGATACGGAAATGTCAGCTGGATTCAAGAGCTGTGACCTTTATCCAGATACCAAGAATGTCCAGAATTACTGTAGCGCTCGTGCGCGCCCTGGAAGCAACTCCAAGCCCTCCTGCTCCCAGGCAGAAGAGAAGCCCCAGCCCCTTCGGGTCGGGAGAAAGTGTTTCTGGGGAGGCTTTGCCCTATCTCCTGCAGGACTGCCTGCATCTGCTGGTGGAGCGTTTGGTGCTGGCTTTGGGATGCGGGAAGGTGGATGGTCTGTTCGGTGGGAGCAGGGGTGAGGAGGCGGCTCCTGACAACCAAGTGTGATCTCTCGCTGGTACTATCTCCTAATCCCTTGCGAACGCTTCTCAAGTGTCAACCGAAAATTGCTTAATTTTATTGCCCCCACTAGTCCTCCCCTTGGCAGGCCGCCCCAGAACCCGACTGTTGTAAAGGTTGGAAAGTTTTTCTGATTTCCAGCTTAAATGGATTCACAGCTAGTTTGTGTTCTCCTGTTCCCGCGCAGCTGGAGCTGTTCTTCCTCCCTGGGGTTTATTTCCCTCGGGTAGAGACATCCCTTTGTTTAACTAACCACACCAGCCCCCTCCTACATGGTGAGCTCTCCTTAGTTTGTAGGCTGTCCTACAAGCTTGCACTTCAAATTAAGCTTTCTTAGCTAGCATCGAGCACAGGTCTCTTCCACGGGTGAGGTCTGATCAGTGTCTTGCACAGGAGCAGTAACACCCACCTGTAGCTGCCAGAAACGCCTCCCGGATTGCGTGTGTCCTCCTCCGTGCCTC